CAAAAACAAGAAAACAGAGGATTAGAACACCACCATGAATCAGCTACTCCTCACAGACACATACAGAACAGTCCACTCAAATAACAGCAGGACATACATTCTTCTCAAGTGCACGTGGAACATTCTACCAGACAGACCATGTGGCAGGTCACAAAATAAGTCACAGTAAATTAGAAAAGAATGAATTTATACAAAACATCTTCGCTAACCACAACGGGATAAAACCAAAAATCAGTAACAGAGGAAAACTGAAAAATTCACAAATATGTCCAAACTAAACAACATATTCCTAATCAACCAATGAGTTAAGAAAGAAATCACAAGGAAAATTAGAAAATACTTTGAAATGACTAAAATGAAAACCCAACAGGTGAAAACTGAAGAGGTGCAGCAAAAGCTGTTCTCAGAAGGAAATTTCAGCTGTAAATGCCTACATTATTAAAGAAGGAAAATCCAAAATAAATAACCTAAGATTACATGTTAAGAAACTAGAAAAAAAAGAGCAACTAAACCCAAAGCTCCCAGAAAACAGGAAATAATAAAAAGAATGGAGAAAAACAAACTAGAGAGTAGAAAATAGAGAGCAAATCAATGAAGCTAAAAGTTATTTCTCTGAGCGATCAACAAAATTGACAATGAAAACTGAGATATTACTACTGACTTTATAGAAATAAAAAGCCTATGAGGGAATACTATGAACAATTGCACACCAACAAATCAGATATTCTAGAGAAAATGAAAAAATTCCTACAGACACACAAACTACCAAAACTGACTCAAGAAGAAACAGAAAAATCTGAAATGACTTATAATAACTAAAGAGATAGAATCACAAATTGTTTTCCAAAACAAAGAAAATCTCAGAACGAGATGGCTTCACTGCTGAATTCTATGAATATCTGAAAAAGAATTAACACCAATTCTTCTTGAACCCTTCCAAAAATAGGAGGGGAGCAGCTATGGAACACTTTAGCCTCCTTGAAAAGTTTAACATAGAATTACCATATCAGAAGCAATTGCACTCCTAAATATAGATCTACGATAATTGACAAAGAGGTGTTCCAACATAAACTTGTATGAACTAAAGTTCATAGCTCTATTCACAATACTTAAAATGTAGAAATAACTCAATTTTTCATTGGTGGAAGAATGCATAAACAAACTGTGGTATATCTATACAATGGAAAATTACTCAGTCATAAAAAGGAATGAAGTTCTTCTATGTGCCACAACATGGATGAACCTTTGAGATACTATGTTACGTGAAAGAAGCCAAACACAAAAGGCCACAAATTTTATGATTCCATTTATATGAAATATTCAGCATAAGTAAATCAGAGACAGAAAGCTGGTCAGTGGTTCTCAAGGGCTACAGGGAGGGGTGAACAGGGAATGACTCATCAGTGGGTGGGGGGCCTCCTTTGAGGGAATGAATATGTTGTGTAATTGGACAGAGTCGACGATGATACAATATTGGGGACGCGCTAAATGACACTGGATTGTTCACTTTAAATAGTTAACTTGACCTTAGGTGAATTAGCCCCTGCTCCCGAGAGAGAGATACAGCATGAAGACATGCCACAGAGTGCACCACCTTTGAAGACACTTTGTTATGTCCAAGAAGACAGACACACAAAAAAACACACATTGTATGACTCCGTATATATGGAATGTCAGAATAGGCAAATCCATAGCGACAGAAAGCACATTAGTGGTCGCCTGGGGCTATGGGCTTAGGGACTCAGAGGACTGGGAGTAATGACTAAGGTGTATGAGAATCCACTTTGAGATGTTGACATCTGAAATTAGATAGTGATGATGGTTGTGCAGCTTTGCAAATACAGTCGTGTGCCACATGATGACATTTCAGTTAACGGGAGATCACACACACAATGGAGGTCCCATAAGATTACAATGGAGCTGAAAAATTGCTATCGCCGGGTGACACCTTGATGACCCTGCTTCTGCATAGGCCTAGGCTAATGTGTGACTTTGTGTCTCAGTTTTAACAAAAATTTTAAAAGTAAAAAATTAAAATTAAGAAATTAAAAATACAAAAAAGCTTATAGAAGAAGGATATTAAGAAAATATTTTATGCAGCTGTACAATGTGTTTGTGTTTGAAGCTAAGTGTTATTACAAGAGTCCAAAAGTTAAAAAAAATTTAAAATTTTATAAAGTAAGAAAGTTACAGTAAGCCAAGGTTAATTTATTATTGAAGAAAGAAAATAATTTTACATAAATTTAGTGCAGCGTAAGTTGAGTGCACAGTGTTTGTGACATCTGCAGTAAGTGGCGCACGGTAACGCCCTGCGCCTTCGCGTTCACTCACCGCTCCCTCGCTCACCCGGAGCAACTTCCGGTCCTGCAAGCTCCATTCCTGGCGAGTGCCTGTACAGGCGTACGATTTTTTATCTTTTATACTATATTTTTGCTGTGCTTTTTCTATTTTTAAATATGTTTAAATACACAAATACTTACTCCTGTGTTACAGCCGCCTACGGTGTTCAACACAGAAACGTGTTGTCCGGGTTTACAGCCCAAGAGCAACAGGCTGCCCGATAGCCCCGGCGAGTAGTAGGCTCTGTCACGTAGGTTTGTGTAAGGACAGTCCATGATCCCGTGATGACAATGTCCCCTAACGACACGTTTCTCAAAAAGTATCCCCAACCTTAAGCAATCAATGACTGTATACTAAAAATCACTGAACTGTATATTTCAAAACTGGACACTTAACACTTTTATGGTTGAGATTTTACGTCTCACTTTTAAAAAATCACTTCCTGAGGCTTTTGTCACCAGGCTGACCCCAAACGCCCTCCTTTTGCAGCCTGGGTGAAGCTGGCCTCCCTCTCAAACTCTCCTTGTGGCCCCCACTGTCTGGGGCAGCGAGACCTGAGTGTTTGGTTCCTGCCCTGGCAGGTGGGCCCGAGCGCAGAGAGACAGGTGAGGAGAGGAGGGGAGCAGGCCCACGAGGGGGGCCCACCGTGCCCGGGCCAAGGAGGGGGCTGCTGTGCCTGTGTGGTGAACGGAGGGGGAGGGTAATGCCGGGGCCACCCCAACCCTCCATCCCCTCACTCCGTCTGTCCCCAGCGTCACTGTCATTCTCGCTGAGTAACCCCCAGCCGGTCACCCAGCAGTCGGGCCGGTGCTGGAACATGAAGGTGGACGACAGGACACAGATGGGCTGGATGTACTTAGAGTAGGTGACAGGGGTGGCCAGTGTCGGCAGGGCTATGTCACTGAATAAAATTCCATTGTAGCGGGGGTTCGCAATGATATCCCGCACCGTGTATCGATGGATGTAGGCCCGAAGGTTCCAGACAGTCGGCTTGGAAGTCGGCTCCCCAAACTGCACCGACCACTTGGAAGGATCATAGTACCTGGCAAAAGAGAACAGTCAGGG